CAAACACATACCAGCTTCATCACTGTGTCTGTCACGCGGCGACTCTGTCCTTTCGGGCTCTGTCTTTACATTTATTTTGAAAGATGAAGCTCGCGATTATGGTAAGGGGCGTTACATTTCCGACGAGTGCTTGCGGTGTTCGGCCAATCACAATGCACTGGGTCAGCTGACCAATCAGAGCAGACTGCGCTTGTTGGAAGGAGGGACTTTGTAGAAAACGAAGCGTTTGAGAGAGGCGGAGCATAGAGGACCTACAATAATGTACAGTATTTGAAAAATAATGTGTTTTTTGAACATTAAAGCATGTCAACATATTCTGTTACACCAAATACACAAAATAATGATCTTTAAAAAAGCATCATATGACCCCTTTAAATACGACAAATTCTTTGCACAACTTCGTAAGAGCTACATTAAAGGGATAGTTCACCCAAAAATGAAAATTGCCCCATGCCTACTCTCTTTTGGATTTTGTCTCTTCCAAGCTTTATAATGGCACTGAATGGTGGTCAAGATTTTGAAGCAAAATAAAGTGTGTCCATCCATCATAAAAAGTGCTCCACACAGCACAGGGGGTTAATAAAGGCCTTCTGAAGCAGAGCGATGCATTTGTGTAAGAAAAATATTCATATTTAAAACTTTATAAAACGTAATCTCTAGCTTCCGCTAACTGTTGTACCCGTGTTCACGAGAGAGTGGTGTTCCAGTGGATGAAGTAGGCGTGTAGCGTAAGCTCCGGTGAGAATATGCTAGTCTCGCGAGAACCAAGTTTTGTTTACAGTAAAGGGAAATCAGTCTCCTCTTGGCTTATATCGAAATCCTCTGACGTTTTTCTGTACAAATCCTAATTTTTGTACTTCTGATTTGTGACCGGTGTTTTGTTTTGCTCTCTCCTCTGCGCTTCCGCGCTTCCACGTTTGCCACTTCTCACCGGAGCTTACATTTTGGAAACTATTAAAATCATTCCGTTTTTGCAAGCTGTGATATGCATATTGTGATTTGTACATTTGCGATATTTCGATAATTTCTATATATTATGTAGCCCTTTTTATATGCAGGATACAAAATTACCACCTGTCATGCACCAAATGCATGTAAATGGCTTTAGTCTGAAAATAAAACAATGTATTGACAAGTTATCTGGAAAGTTACCATCCAAACAACTCCTATAATGATAATGTTGTTCCTCATAGTTTTATTTGGTGGCTTGTGGCCAGGAATGTTATCATTCTGGAGTAACGACAGTAACAACAGTTTTGGCTGTGTCTCAGTGACACATTAGTTTTTTAAGACACAGTTTACTGCAAATATTAAAGAGAAAAGCACCCAGATAATTACACTCTCATTGAAGTAAAAATGTCTTTAATCAAATTAAAGTTGCATGTGAGAAACAGTGACGTTTGGCTCCATTTTTGAATCTGAATCTGTCTGAATGAATGACGTTTTACAGGTTTGGTGGATTTTTATTGAAATAGGAATCAGATTTTATTCTGTTTCTCATGTTTATTTCCCCAATACTGTGTTTTCCCATTTTGGATACTCTCTGTGAAATTGCCTTGTAGCCTATTGAAACACAATTGATTGTCCAGCAGTATAGCAGAAGACAACAGTTGATGATTTAGAATTGATTAGTAACAATTGGTGGTGCTTAACTAGTCAGCTGTGGTCACCAGTTATTGCCAGTTAATTTGGATTTTCTGTATTCTGTGATACATTGGGTCCCTGAGTGTCTGGGCTGCTGTAGTGTTTGATTGTGGTTGTCGATGTGTTTGTGCAGGGATACAGCGGGACAGGAACGGTTTCACACCATCACTACCTCTTACTACAGAGGGGCCATGGGAATCATGCTCGTATATGACATCACCAACACCAAGAGCTTCGAAAACATCAGCAAATGGCTCAGAAATATCGATGAGGTCAGTCACTACACAACCTTACTCTAACCCTCAGATTACTGCCATTCAGGAAGTGATGTTTTATAGGGATAGTTCCCCGCAAAAATGAAAATTGTTATCATGTACTCACCAGGATTTTCCAAACCTGTATGAATTTCTTTCTTCTGTTGAACATTACAGAAGATACTTTGAAGAATGTGGGTAACGAAATCGTTGCGGGTTCCCATTGACTTCCACAGTATGAAAAAAAAAATACTGTATAAGTCAATGGGAACCAAAACTGTTTGGTTACCAACATTCTTCAAAATGTCATTTTTTGTGTTTAACAGAAGAAAGAAATGCATACAGGTTTGGAAAAACACGAGGGTGAGTAAATGATGACAGAATTTTAATTTTTGGGTGAACTATCCCTTTAATAGGATTGTGTATGTCTGAACAGAAAATGTTGTGATTGTAGCGTAGATAATCTTTAAAACTAGTTTTGCCCTAAGACCCAGATTTTACATTTGACATACACAATAGTTAACAAAAGTGTGCTTAAAATTAAACTTAAAAATAATGCAGTGTTATTTTAGTATCATTGATATACTGTTAATATTTTGAATTAGATTTCTCATTTGAATTTGAATCTCTCATTTTCATAAGAACTAACATAACTAGAATTGTCAACTAAAACGAAAACCATAAAAATATTTTCATTACTTGTAACGAACATTAATTAAAATAAAATATAAAAAAACTTGTAAACATGTAAAATGATTATGACATGGGCTGAATAGGAAAATGTTGGCCAATAATTGACTGATCAGGTGAAACCATATTGCATGCAGTTTTCCTTTATCTTGCATAGTTTTGTTCATGGTTTTTGAGACACAATGAATTTGTACCTAAATACAGAGTTTGTTTGGACAAGCATCTCTTGACGTCAATGACAAAACAATATGGGAAGTGTTTTCTTTTCCCTTTTAAAAGTTAATAAGCCCATTTATTTTAGTAGCCTAACTGTGCATGATCATGTGGTTAGTTGCTTTTTATTATTGTGTTGTTATAAATAGAACATACCTATGACCCATTTTTGAGTTAAGAACCGCTGGTGTAGGACTTTTGAAGTTCTAGTCCTGTAAAAACACCAACTTACAGATACATAGTCATGGAGTGAAACTGCTGACTGTTAGATTTTCAGTCTGATGAGTTATGCAGAATTTCCAAACAATCAGCAATTTCAAGAGAATTCATATAACATGAGACTCCACGAGGGATGTGGTTGTGTGTTTGGTGGCCTGTCGTTCACACACTTGCACCACTGATGCAAACTCAGTTCTTCAGTACTGTTTCTTCTGTGACTTCTGAAGCCACTTTAAGTACTCTCAGTCTGAACATCAGTATTTAGTGAGAATGCATCATCTCAAATGTGTGTATGTTTGTTGCAGCATGCTAATGAGGATGTGGAGAGGATGCTGCTAGGCAACAAGTGTGACATGGAGGACAAACGTATCGTACCAAAAGCCAAGGGGGAACAGGTGAGGGATTGTGGATGAGTTAAGATTCAGGCTGGGTTGAAAATATCAATTTTAATTAGGGATGTAACGATGTAAGATGTTCAACCGATGTAAGCCGGTTGAACATCGATATACAAATATGTGACGATTCAGATTGGTTGTGATGTTAAATGAATCGCGATACATTTGGCGGTGGGAGTTTATATGTAGGGCTGGGTATCGAGTTCGATACTTTTTAGGCACCGACCGAATTGCCTCGATACCATCGAATATCGAAAAACGTCTCGTCGTTCGGTACCAAATTTCAATACCTAAGGGGTTAATCTCATCAGCGTCAGTGAGCCAATAAGCCTGCAGCACTAGCCGGTGTTTTCTACTAGTTGAGGTGTGGTGCAAATCGATCATCCGCGAGAGCGATTCGAAAGCGAACGGAGCAGTCTGCTCTCTTTAGCTCTCATGGTACTGTAATACACTGATCGGTCTGCACAGACGGTCCGCGTCAAGTCGAACACACCTACTAGTTGTTTTAAAATGAAAACGATCCTTGTCATACTGGCCTTTCCACTGCGTTTCAAGCCGGCTTTCCACTATCTCCGACAAATGACAAGCGACAAGACATTTCAAGCGACGGTCATTAATTTCCAATGGAGAGTAGTGTGGGAGCTGCATGGAGTTCCGATCATATGCAGATGTCTGTTCATACTAACGTTACACGACCGAAAGCGCGTGTTATGTGAACATTCATGCATTTTGCACTGATTTATTGTGTTGGTTACATTTTGATCCTTTGTGCAGTGGCTCAGGAGATGAGTCTTTGAGTTTAAACATCAACAAGCTGAAAAATAAAACCAAAGTTGTTGTTTTTTAGATAATGTAATCTTGTTAAAATTGATTTCATAAAATTGGTATTAAAAAAAGTATCATTCAGGAACTGGTATCGAAGTCAAGGTATCGGTATCGATATCGAAAAATTTTGAACGATACCCAGCCCTATTTATATGAATGTATCTCTCGAGGGGAACTGTCTTTAGAAAAGTTTAGGTGGTATTTTCTTTTCATCTTGCCTCTGTATAATGCATATTAAAGCATATAAATGTTTTCATAAGCACAGTGCTGCTTTGTTTACAGTGGTAACCATGGAAACGCTGTATTGCTGCTGTTCCATAAGCGCCACCTGCTGTTAGAGAGTGATTCTGCGTCTCATTCAGCCCGTCTGTTGTTTTGGTTTCGTGCAGATGTTTTATGTAGTATAGTTTCACAAAACTAAAGTCGGAGTGTTCTGTTTTTGTTTAAAATTTCCAATTATACAATGCATGTATGCAGCATCTTTGTTTGGATTGTGATTCAGATGAAGTGGTTGCCTCTAATTTTAAATGGAAAGAGCACAGGCAAAGCCTTAGTTTGTTTATATGAAGATATTTCTTTGATTTGTATTATTTATTTATTTGATTTGGGATTTGTTTTAAAATTTCAGTTTAGTTTTGTTATTTGACACATTTCAATTTCACAAAGAAATGTGCACCATTTTATCCTAAATTTATCTTACATTTATATTTAAGTAATAATAAAAGGATACCTTTTCATTTATAATTTGTCTTAAATCTAATTTTGTTTTTAAAAAAATCATGAGAAAATTGTATTGTGAAATCAGTGTCGTGAATTGTATCACATCGATTAAAAACCGCCTTATGTGCAATTTAAATGTTTGTTTACTAATCACATTAATGTACCAACTGACAGGGTTTATTGTATAGTTAACAGCATTAGTTGAGACATTTTTCCTTGGAAAAAAAATTGACGTACTACCCCTGATTGCATGCATATCTAAATGAATCGATACTGAATTGAGATTGAATTTTAATCAAATCGCAAGCTGGTGAATCAAAATTGAATCGAATCGTGAAATTTGTCTTAATACGCAAACCCTAGTCAGGATGGGCATTTTGTCCACTAGTTGAGACTTTGGTTGACTAGGTTTTTTCAGTATTCTATGAGTCAATTTATTTGTTGAATATTTGTCAGTAACCGTATTGAAGCACCTTGCCTAAGTGTTTATTTATCTGTAAGAATTTGTGTAATCATATCCCCAAATCCCAAATGGGTTCATACATATTATTTCAGACCTGCAAACACAATGAATGTGAACTGTTCTTGTGCCAATCCTCAGATCGCGAGAGAACACGGGATTCGCTTCTTCGAGACAAGTGCAAAAGCTAACATCAACATCGAGAAGGCGTTCCTCACATTAGCAGAAGACATTCTCAGAAAGGTGAGTTCGGGAATGACTGACTGATAACACCATTGGTATTGTGCTTTTAAGCGAAAACATTGCAATGCAAAAGAGCATCGATTTTGTGTCATTTGACTCATAAATACACTGTCACAGCAGCTGATCTCTCTCGTATATTCAGTGCTCGGTTCGTTGCTTTTGGTGTTTACTTTTCTATATAATATTATTCCATTTCTAATAGTGCACAGAGCAGAAATGAATCTGTATGGATTTTTTTCTGATTCATAATGCAACAAAACAAATCACCATCAGCTCACTGAATCGTTAGTTAGTGGTTTGATTTGGATTGTGCTTGTAGTTTACATCAAATAGGGGTTGGAATAGTTTGTAATCTCATGATCCGATTTGATTGGAGTCATTATTTCAATTCGATAGTAAAACTAATAAGTACACTAATTTCTGGAGGTCTTCCACAACTTTCATTTCTGGATGATGTGTTGAGTCTCCAATTTTTTTGTAACCTTATTAAATGCGGCATCTATTTATGTCAAATGATGTGAAATAAGACACCATAGGGCTGTTACCAATTAAGTTAAATCAGTATCAACAAAATCCATATTTGTACTGCAGGAGTGGCACAGAAACGGCATTTGAAGTGGCATTTAGATGTATTTACACACACTATGCATTTATACTGCAACTGCATAAATAATGCTATATATGAGATTAATGTTTTATATATAACATTTTAAATATAGAAATATTAAATTATGGGATAAACATGTGGAAAATATTGTCCAAAAATGTATTTCACTCAATATAATTGTTTATTGAACTGTTGTAAATATAAAACCAACATCACATTTGCAATTGTGCTGATACTTGGGAAAAACAACACTCTTGCTTATGTGATATTTCGTAACTATATCATGTTATAAATATTATAAAACAAGAACTCACACAGGGTCATTTTGTGCCTTCATATCTTGAATTTTGAGGCCATTTTTATAAGGTTTGGTGTCATTTTTGCCCCAAAGCCCCATTAATCTGTTTCCATTCCCATCTTAATATGTAGAGACAGCTATAAGTAATCATTCATAGGTTGATTCTCCTGTAAGTCTCGAGGTGCGTGATACTGACAAGAAATTATATCTCGAAATGCGTTTTTTGTTTACGATAATTAAACAATATTTTGCTGAATGTGTTTTTATGCTGGTACTTTGGCTGCTTTAGGCCTGTAATGGATAAAAAAACATGACACTAAAACCACCAGTAGGTGGCAGTAGGTCTCTTGTCTGAATTAATTGAATCATTCATCATTGAATCATTAATTCAAACAATTTGTTCAAAACTGCTGATTCATTTAGAAATTAGCCAAGTGACTCTGTTTATAAATGGATCATTGAATCATCGACTTTCATTCAGAAACGTAACAGTGCAGTGTTGGTCTGAGATGCACAAATGTTCTGCTTCGGCTTTGTTTGTAACTACTTTCATTGACAAAACAGACAATATTGTGCCTAAAATGTAACTCACTCAATATTAACTTTTTGTTTGTTGAACTGTTGTCAGTTGCAATTGCACTCACAATATTTATGAAAACAGCACTGTTGGTTGTGTGATATTACTTAACTATATAAATATAAAAACAAAAACCCATACAGGGATATTTTTTGCTTTCATAACTTGAATTAACATTGGCATTCTAACTGCATTCTAATAAGCTTCATCACGCAGTCAATGCTTTTGAATTTCAAGACGGTTTTTGTTTGTTTTTTTGCAAAGTGAGTGACATTTGATAATGTCAGCTTGCATATGTTTAAAACAACCTAATGAACACTGTGGCTCTATCAAAACATGGCTCTGTTTGTTTGAGAATCCTGATCAGCCGGACAGCAACAGTCAAGTCACCTTTATTTATATAGCACTTTATACAATACAGATTGTGTCAAAGCAGCTTTACAGTGTTCCAACAGGAAAATAGTGTGACCATAATGCAAACAAAAATAGATTTCTGCTGTGAGGACAATAGTAAACAGTAAATTTTTCAGTTATAGGCAGTTCGTCTTTGATTCAGTGACGTCATCGTCCAGTTCAGTTCAGTTCTCTTTAGGGCTGTCAAAATGGCTGAAAAACAAAATTCGAATTTTGTGCTTAAATATGATCAAAATTCGAATTATATTCGAATTTAAAATGCATAATTTCAGTCCTGAGGCCACAAGAGGGCGCATCGAGCATAAGATAACATGGCTATCTGTGGAAAAAAAGTGCATAATGTTTAAAATAATGTTTATAAACCAATTATAATTAATTAAGTTGCTTAAACAACTATAAACAAAACAGCATCATGTATGTATTCATAGTTTAATACAAAGGGCCGAAAGCCAATCACACAGAGTAAATTTTTTCATTTAAAAACACGAATTGCAGTGGGACGGGGGGAAAAAAAACGCCATTAAGTCTCGAGATATGTTTTTTCAAAGTTGAACTTGCATTAATTTTACATGGCTTTCTAAATATGCGGTTCTCTTGTGCGAGACGCGAGTGCAACGGTGATAGATTTCCCTCTAGAAAATGCGCGAAATATGCATTCTGTGTGAATGGCTTGGTTTTTAGTTTTGACGTAAACAAGATCTTCTCCGCATTGATGTTATCTTTCCCCGCAATATTTGTAATCAACAACACAGCAGCGCCGCATCTAGTGGCTTCAACTTGATAGGCTAACAAAAACATTAAAATGCAATAACACTTACATCGTCATCACATCTCGTGCGCCACTGATAAGGCTGCCTCCTTAACGCACACCTAAAATTCGAATGCAATGTTTTTGCATTCGAATATGGATTTTTATTTTAAATTTGACGAATATTCGAAATTCTAATTTTTTTTTGACAGCCCTAGTTCTCTTCCAATAGTGTGTGCAGTCAAGTCGATAGTATTGGCAAAAATTGAGGCCCTGTTTACACTTGGTATTATGATGTGTTTTGGTCGATCGGATCACAAGTAGACAAGGGAGACACATTCCCGTTCACACCAGCAGTCACCTATAAGTTGTCGGCAAATTCTTTAAATTTTATCGGTATTCAGAACAGAATAAGATAAAAATCTGAAAATATAAGTAGCTATAAAATTATAGTACAAAATTATATATACAATTATAAAATAAAACACAAATTATAATGGCATTCATTATAAACATCTAGCAATGCTATAAATGATCCCTTACAAAAAATTAAATGGATATTGTCCTTGTCACAGCGGGAAAAAATGAAATATTCTGTCATTTTTGGTCATAAAGATAGGAGTAAGACATAATTTGAAATTGTAAAGAGTTTACTTTTATTTATGTATACTCGTAATAAGAACAAAACTGCCTTTATAAAATGAAGAAAACAAACAGGATGTGTTTTCAGCCGTCTCTTTTTCCTTAAACTTGTGGTGCAGCCATAAAAAATTTTTTGGTTTGGTAATTTGTTAATTATTTCACTGAAACACATTTCATGTAGGCCTATTTATTTGATTCCTATCATGTAATTTTATTCTGTTTTTCTCTGTTTTCTCCTTTTGTTTATGTGTATGCAAAACTAAACTACTGAAAAGAAAAACATGTAATTTTAGTGGGTCACATACACATCAATTGTAAATTAATTTAAATCTAATTTAACATTCTAATGTTGTTGGATAGGAAATGAACATTGTAATGTTTAGGAATCAGCTCAGTCAGTGGAGCAGGGTTTCCGTGGGTCCTTAAAGTTTTAAATTTAGTTATCAAATTTAAGGCCATAAAAAAATCTTAAGTGGTACAGGAAAGCCTTAATTCTGATTTCAAGAGGTCTTTAATTTGGGGATGGAAAGACAAGAATTGTGATAAGGCTTAATGTGACAATTAAACTTCAAAAGGCTATTGATTTAATTGAATAAAGCTGCTTTGTGAACTGCGGTTACCGGGGAAACACTATATTTCTGCCGTTTCGAAAGCTGTGCATTTTCAATAAGCCCTTCTGTTGGTTTTGTTCAGACCAATGCGAAAAAAATTGACCCATATTTTAGATATATTTATGTTATTAAATTAATATATTTGATTGATAATAATTGTTTAAAGTAATGTAATCATTGATACTGTTGACTCATAGCTTTTCTTAAAAATGGTTTAAAGGCCTAAATGTGACGGTTATCATTTTATAAAACTTTTTGTTTTGTGAAAACCTGTATCTGAACTGTAAATCATGCTTTTTACAGTCATTTTCTGGTTTAATATGATACCATAGATATAGCCCTACTCCGCTTATATGGTATTAATTTCATTTGTGCAGGTCTTAAAAAGTCTACCTCTGGAAGTAGTTGAAAGTGGACAAGCTCAAAACGTTTTAGACTCCATTAACATCTGTATTTAGCGTTGTCCACTTGTGATCGGATCACTGAAAATGAATCTTAATGCCAGGTGTAAACAGGGCCTAAGTGTCCCCAACTAAGCAAGCCAAAGGCCACAGTGGCAAGAAATCAAGACTCCATCAGTGACAAAAATGGACAAAAAAAAAAGCTTGGGAGAAACCAGGCTCAGTCGGGGGGCCAGTTGTCCTCTGGCCAGACGAAACATGATGACTCAACCAGTGGTGTGAGTTTGAGACCGGAAACCAAACAGACCAAAGCAAGCTATCAAAACAATCTCAGCTTCACGCCAACAACTCAAAATGTGATGTGTGCAAAAGCAAAATCTTTTATTTGTGTTTTTGTTTTCATTTGCAGACGCCCGTAAAAGAGCCCAACAGTGAAAACGTGGACATCAGCACTGGAGGCGGAGTCACAGGATGGAAGACCAAGTGCTGCAGTTGAACATACACACACAGATACTCACACACTTTACACAAACACACACCATCTGTTTCTCTATATCCCTCTCTCTCTCTCTCTCTCTCTCTCTCTCTCTCTCTCATTCACTCATCCCTCGTTTCTGTCTAACACTCTTCCGTTCTCTCCTCATGGGATTCTCTGTAAAATACATCTCTAATGTTTCTCACACTCACGACTGCTTGCTGACATCATTTTTATTTCTGACAAAAAAAAAATACAAATGTAAAGAGAAAGTCCTTTCATGTTTCTTCTTATTTTAAAGTTTAAAGAAAGAAATGAATTTAAGCAAAAAGTGCATTCACCACTACATAAAGACCGTCAGTGGACCTGGAGATGTTGTCTGTCGGCACAGAGGAGCGGCGTAGCGTTCCGTACGACATCCTAGACGAGACTTTTAGTCCAGGGGTGGTTAGTGTTGTGTGTTAGTGTGAGAGATCTTCTCTAGCTGGGTTTTTTTGTTCTCTGATTTGATTTCTTTCGTCCGGTGCCTTAATGTAGAGCCTTAGAGCTCATCCCCCAAACACACATTTAAACATCACTTTTCTGTAACAGTTGCGCGCACACACACACACACTGGTCCTCTCCTCTCTGCTTGACCCGCTAACCCAACCCAACACACCTGAGTGGAACCATCCGGACTCAATCTGTTTGCTCAGAAGAGAATGGCATTATATATATTTTTGTTTTGTTTTTTTTAAATTGAGTTTGTTTTTCAGAATGTTTAATGAATCTCCTCTGTATGTTTTGTTTTGTTTTCCCTCACTCAGTTACTCATTCTCTCCTGCATGCTGTTTTTTTGGGGTCTTTTGTAAGTTTTGCCATGTTTGTAATTGACAGGAAGTATCTCTTCTAGTCCAGATACGTGTCAGGGAGGGGAGCGTTCTCTTTGGAAATTCAAACGATTTTGCAGATCCATTAAAAATAAGCTTGTTTAAGTTACATGTTGGTCCCGTTTATTCAAGCATGGAGAGTTTGCGATGTCGAGTGTGTGTTTTCAGGGTTTCTGTGGGTTTTTAAAAAAGTCTTAATTCACTCTTCCACAAATTAAGGCCTTGGAAAAGGTCTTAAATAGGAGCAAAATTCATAGTCATGGCATTAAATGTTGCATGCATTTTATGAAAGGAATATTTTCCCTATTGTCCCTATTTTACCCAGCACTGGGTTGTATTTAACCCAGCATTTTTTTAGAGTGTAGTTTTAGGATCTACACTTTCAGAATGGAATGTTTTAGTAATATAAAGAAAAAAATGGTCAAACATTTATTGCGGTTTACGTTCTGATCATAAGATTTCTGAAAATTGGAGTTTTAAATTAGACTGGATTACTTGTAATTAATCAAAATTCTGTCTCGTGAATATTATGATTACTGTAGTGTATTTTTATCTCCTCCTGGTGGCAGAATTACACGTCTCGAAAACGGAAATATTTGAAAAACACTTTTTTTTTTCCCCAAGTCCAAGACTCTAAAAAAACACTATTAATCTGTTACTTTACTTAAAATTATAGATTTATATGTTGAGATAAAATTTGATATAAAAACGTAAGGTACCTGTGTAAACAGCAGTTATTGGCAGTTTAAAATACATAGGGCCTATAATAAAATGTAAAAGTAGGCTATAATAATATATATAAGTAACACATGCAGTTAGCATAAGCATGTTGTTATTAAGGTGACTGACAGGTAATGGAAGTTTTTTTTCTTTAAATATACTCAACTCTACAATATTTTTAATTTCTAAATTCTCTTTGCCGCTGATTTCTTTATTAGATGAAAAAAGTCAGTGTTACAAACGAAAGGACAAGTTATGAAAGTTGATCGAAAGGTGCGCGAAACCCATTGAAAATAGGATTTTTTGTTTAATCCAATTTTATTCATTTACAAACATATCTAGAACTACTTTTAAAAGATAAACTGTTTCCTGTAGGCTATTTTACAGTGTGTACATTGTATTTATTTCTGTGGCATATTTTCCGGTTCCGGTCACTCATTGTGTTGAGAGAATGTCAATTTAAACGAATGGTTAACTCGTCTAGAAAATGAATGAATGACAAAATTGTATGCATTATACATGTTTACGTTCAATATATTAAGTATTTGAATGCAAATGAAAGCAAAGGAATATGAATAGCATAATTACTTGTGGAATATCAATTAACCGTAGCCTATATATTTCTGCTTATTTTTCGGGGTTTGTCGTTATAATAGACCACATGATAGCAGCACAGAAAAGAAAATCGTGAAGTTTGTCCAGATTGTCTGAACTGAAGATGGGAGCTGCTTCGGATCTGAAATGGAGCAGAAAGTGAGTTTATATTCAGATGTATAAAGCGAATACAGCAGCCTTCAGCATCAACTAGAAATCAATTTCCATTGATTATTGATTAACAACCCTGGATTTATGACGGGTGAAATATTCAGATGATACTGAGCAAAGTCAACCTTCATAAAACATTGTCATTAAAGCTTTGAGAGGAGAGACGGGGCAAGAATAACATATTTGATAAAACCAATTCCCTTTATTGTCTGGAATAAAAATATCGTCATAAATAAAGACATAAGAGCTGTCTTATGTTAGCTTCCAAAACGGTTTGTGTCTTTAATAGATTAGGCTGCATTACAGAATATTTGACATATGAACATACATTTAGAGACCATAAAAACCTTCGATGGGGTAGGCCTATAAATCAACATTTTAGCCCAGCACTTTTTAATTAAATTATTGAAATTAAATTTAATTATTGCAAAACAATTAAAGCATTAGCAAAAATGCCGTCACAAATAAGAAAAAAACATTTCGTTTAACAAGTTGACCTATTGTAACAAGTAACTTCATAATTGGAACCTTTGCAGCAAAATTCAAACAGTAAAACAATTATGACGAACAGAACCATTCAAACCTCAAAAAGATAAAAGGTAATGTACAAGAATTCTAAAAATGGTTTTGGCCAACGGATATTGTAATCAATAAATTGTATATATAAAAAACTTGTATACATAAAAACCCGACATAAATGTGACAATTATCGCCAACCTGACATTTATGAAAAATACTCTTGTTCTGAGAATGCAGTTGAACCTTTCAGTCAAAACCCAACTTCATTGAATAGTTGACTCTTAAAGCATGTCAGTGAAGTTTTGTGTTCACACAACAAAAAAAATAATGATTGCATTGGAATTTTAGAGGGCAAATTTCACAAAAATTAGTACATTGTAAGAGAGTCACAATAGTAGACTATACAAACATACAAATAGCCTAATAATAATAATAATGTTAATATAGGTTATAAAATTATACTTATAGTTAAATAATCAATAGCTTTATTACATTAACGATAACATTTTTTATTGAGCTTCAATTATTTAGCTCTATAAAACATGTAGCCTACCTAGCGTTTATAAACATACAGACTATAAATAATCACCCCTTTAAAACAACTATGAATGTAAAAACAAAAATAGTGGCCTCAATATAACCAAAAATATTAGCCACAATATAGCAGAAAATTTATTGTCAAGACAGCAAAAAGAAAAAAACATTTCTGTAGCCTCGAGTTTAGATCTCTGCCATTCAATGGGTTTTACAGTATCTTTTATTAAAAGTATATCTTTTTCATTTTTTTTTACATAATACAGCCTTCATATTGGTTGGCTTTTTAAAAATTGTTTCATAAAAATGATTAAAACTTCTGTAATTAACATTGGTTTGACACAGCATGTAGCCTATTTTTGCATTGGTCAACTTTAAAGGGGTCATATGATGTTGCTAAAAAGAACATTATTTTGTATATTTGGTGTAATGAAACGTGTTTATGCGGTTTAAGGTTAAAAAAAACACATTATTTTCCACATACTGTACATTATTGTTTCTCCTCTATGCCCCGCCTTTCTGAAACACGTCGATATTTACAAAGCTCATCCGTTGGAAAAGCGAGGTGTGCTGTGATTGGCCAGCTATCCAGTGTGACGGAAATGTTACACCCCTTACCATATTGTGATACTTTGTCCCGGCCGGAGCGACGAGACAAAAACATTAAAACCCATTATAAAGAGGCATTTGTTGCATCCAGTGGGGACATAATTACGGATTATAATGACTTATACTGTCTTTCTACTCGTTGCGTTGCATCGTGCCGCGTAAACATAAAACCATGTCTGCATTTGTGATCGGAGAAATGACAAACAACAAGCCCTACTCTACACTGCCCAAAAAACTCGCTTTAAATATA